TGGGAATTTGGGAGCTTGGGAATTGGGGAGCTTGGGAATTGGGAAGCTTGGTAATTTGGGGCCTTGGGAATTGGGGAGCTTGGGAGTTAGGAAGCTTGGAAATTTGGGGCCTTGGGAATTGGGGAGCTTGGGAATTAGGAAGCTTGGGAATTTGGGACCTTGGGAATTGGGGAGCTTGGGAATTTGGGACCTTACGAATTTGGGGCCTTGGTAATTTGGGGCCTTGAGAATTGGGTTGCTTGGAAAGACGTTAGTTTCTCACAGAAATAAGAGATGGTCCTAAAGGAGGGTCCACCCCAGAAGAATCTATCCTAAAGGACCCCACACTAGGTAGGGCCCCCTAAGGAAGTACCTAATCTACAGAAAAGAGTTGCCAAGAACCTCTCATTCTAAAATCTCCATTCCAGCATAAAGAACTACTCCCTCCATAAAATAATAAAAACTAAACCCCCAGTTTAATTACTCAAACCGGTCCCCTTTGGAGACCCAGTAGCCCCAAGCTACGCGAATAATAACAAAAGAAACTAGAAATCTGCATTTTCTTACGTGTGTAATAAAAGTCAAGCCACCGTAAAATCAACACAAAAGGACATGCATAGCAGAGATAATTATTTGCACAATAAGTATAACTCGCTCTTGTTTTGACGAGTCGCAGGGGGTAAGGAGATAAGGTTGGGATAGAAAAGGGGGTGGGACGGAAATTAGGTCATGCAAGAATATCGACGTAATCACGGTGCACGGCTCGAATAAGGACATTTAACGAGTCACGCTTCTTCTCTCGCGAGATCCTTTCTTCCGTTGCGTCGAACGCAAAGATCGATCCGCCATCTTGTGGCACGTCGCAGTTGGTCGATACGGAAGGTTGATTAATTTATTTGATAACGAGTATATTTAAAGCTGCCATGCAAATGAGAATCGAGTAAAAAAGATCCGACAGTCGACATTTTTTTGTATAGAGCGCGGGAATCAAAGAGCCTTTAATTTTGAAATTACGAATAAAAAAATATTTAATCCTGGCCGAGTTAAAATTGTGCAAATATGCAGGGCTCGCGAAACGCGGCCAGCTTTGGGCGATATTAGCCGACGGAATCGATAAACGGAGCCAAAACTTCCGATTGCGGAATTAAAAGTCCATCCTCCGTTGACTCGATCATTTTGGTCGTCTCGATTGGCTCGCTAATTACTGGAGAAGCTCGTGCCAGTTCGGCAAACTGTTTATATTTCGAAACACCGAATTCGAGTTTCGTGAGAAGATCTCCACTGAGCGCTCGAATGCAACTTGACCCGTTTGATTAATTTAACTCTCACCTTTGGCGAACGTTTTCGCCACTATTGTTCGCCGTAATTGTTGGGAATCGAAATCGAGTTGAAGATGCGCCAGAATCAACGGCTAATTGGAATTATTAAACGAGCCCAAACTTTCGAGCGCGGTTTTCAAACTTCCCAGCATTTTGTTTACAATATTTCTAAACTCGAATAAATTGCGATACACGAATCGGTTGCGGGAGTTCGAATAAGCGAAAAGAAATTGGAGAGACTTCGAGTTGTAATTGATTAATATCGGGCACAGCTGTTCGTGGAAGTCGGTGAAAAATTGTTCCGGCTTACAGACCGAGAAAAATTGGCAAACTTTGCGGAATCGAACAACGAAACTTTTTCGAATGCAAATGGTTTCATACATTTCGCGTTAATATTTAAACACGACCCCATTTACAATCACTCTTAAAAACCTAAGCTCTCAAATATCAATTTTCTACAGTATCGTCCCAAAACTCCACCATCGCATTCTCCTCGTCAAAACAAACCTAAAAGTCCTTTACCACTTTTCGATACGATCCCCCGTTTCCAAGATATGGTCAATCAAAGATCGCGCACGCGACTTCCGGTGCGATCAGCTGTGCGCCTGCGCGCCGGAAGTCGAGTACTCAATCGGTCATATCTCGAGAACGAAGCGTCGCATCGAAAAACGGAAAAGAACTTTTCGCTTCAGTTTACCGCGAGGAATACACAGGTTGAACGGCATCGCGTTTCGACGGAGACACCCTGTACACGTCCTTCGGGAAAATGGTTAAGGATATTATTCTCGTCGCTTTTGCCCCGGACAGAGTAAATCTTGCAGGCTTCACCGTCTGACGCGTAACGCTGTTTAACCTGTCGCTCGTGCAAACGCTTGAAAATCGCCAGAAGGCAGCAACAAGGACAGAGTCATGGATGCTCGCTTCTGTGAGCGGAGTCCTCTTAAAAAGCGAGCAAACAACATCGAGCTTGAACATCGTCGCTTCTGGTTTTCTATCGTTTCCTTGGCAGCGTGTGGATTTTCATGAACGAAGCTGTTCGAGTAGCGTGGTACATTCTGAGGAATACAGAGAACCGGTTACCGAGCTAACTGGGTCGTTTACAAATTCTTCCAAAGTCTAATAACGTTCGGAATGATTGTTCTCCTAGAGGGCGGATGAATAGAGCCAACTACTTGACCCCCGCGAACTTTAGTCTCCTCCTCGAGTGCCGACTGCAAGACACGTATGAGACGTTTTATAATAATCGTAATATATTGCATGTCCTCGGACGATCAATTTGCATTAACTAGCAGGGATTATAAACTGCGTAATTGATATTTTATAACAAACGGAGACCCGTGCACGCAAACGTGCTCGAAAGAAGATTAATTACGGAGGAAACTTTCAATGGTCCTTTCTGAATGTCCTGCACACTGTTCCACGTTTATAAAGGCCATTCGAGGAGTTCCTTAAGACGTCAACGCGATTAATCGATCATTCCGTTCGCTTCAAAGCGTAAATTTTCTGCGTCCGACGTTACTATAATTTACAGGTGGCTGGTACACGTGACGCGTTACGTCGCCGTTGATTGTTGTAATATTATTACAGCTGCTGGTTAACACGGTCTCCAAACACGCGACGTTCGATTCGCGGAATTAATTATCATCGTTTGCTTCGAGGACGTTTTTGCACGATTATTCTTCGCAGAATGCAGATCCGAAATATTTTAATTGCCATCCGCATGCGATTAAACTCTGAATTTACTTAGCGTACTCTCGACATGTGTATCAATTCCTGCATTCTTGCTAAATTGGATCTTATCATAAATGCATAAATGCAATATTTATGCTAATTCACTGACTAAAAACGAGTACTTGCGAAGCAAGTTAAGCTCATAAGCTCCCTAATTCCCAAGCTTCCCAATTCCCAAGGTCCCAAATTCCCAAGGTCCCAAATTCCCAAGCTTCCCAATTCCAAAGCTTTCAAATTCCCAAGCTCTCAAATTCCCAAGGCCCCAAATTCCCAAGGTCCCAAATTCCCAAGCTTCCCAATTTCCAAGCTTCCCAATTCCCAAGCTTTCCAATTCCCAAGCTCTCAAATTCCCAAGGCCCCAAATTCCCAAGGTCCCAAATTCCCAAGCTTTCTAATTCCCAAGCTTCCCAATTTCCAAGGTCCTAATTCCCAAGCTTCCCAATTCCCAAGGTCCCAAATTCCCAAGCTTCCTAATTCCCAAGCTTCCCAATTCCCAAGGTCCCAAATTCCCAAGCTTCCCAATTTCCAAGCTTCCCAATTCCCAAGCTCCCCAATTCCCAAGCTCTCAAATTCCCAAGGCACCAAATTCCCAAGCTTCCTAATTCCCAAGCTTCCCAATTTCCAAGGTCCCAAATTCCCAAGCTTCCTAATTCCCAAGCTTCCCAATTCCCAAGGTCCCAAATTCCCAAGCTTCCCAATTTCCAAGCTTCCCAATTCCCAAGCTCCCCAATTCCCAAGCTCTCAAATTCCCAAGGCCCCAAATTCCCAAGCTCTCAAATTCCCAAGGCCCCAAATTCCCAAGCTTCCTAACTTCCAAGCTTCCCAATTCCCAACCATAAATGCAATATTTATGCTAATTCACTGACTAAAAACGAGTACTTGCGAAGCAATCCCAATTCCCAAGCTTCCCAATTCCCAAGCTTCCCAATTCCCAAGCATCCCAATTCCCAAGGTCCCCAATGCAAGTCCCACACAGGACCCACAATTCGGTCGTAAGCTCTGTCATTCGGAAAAAGGGCGAAGCGTTTTTGCGATCGGTTTCGAAAGGGTCGATCCATGAAAAAATTCGCGGGAAATTCGCGATACGGCACTGACCGTGACGGGGAGCAAGCTGGAAAAGGAAGCAGCGGTAGCTGGGGTCGTGGTGGTAGGGCGTCGCGACGCTTTGGTGAGGGTAGCAACAGAGACGGGAGGAATCACGTGCGCGCGCGCGCGCTCGCCAAAGAGGGAAAACCGGAGAGATACAGGGGGTGAAAATCAGTGAGGGTGGTTTCGGCCGGCCGGTCAGTCGTGCTGTGGCGACAACCACGTTGGTTAGTCGCTTCACCGTGATGTTGCCAAACAACCCCCTCGAGTATCCGTTGGACACCTCGAGGACGGATCCACGGAACGGATGAACTGATCGACGTATCAGGTCGATGAGGAGGTGGACATCTTTGTGTCTCCGCTGTTTAATTCGCCGTGATCGAGTTAGTGGGATCGTCCGCCTGTCCAGACACGGTCCGGGTGCAGCGAAGATACCTGTCCAAACGCGAGCACGAGGACACTTCGCCCTGGAGCCTTGGCACCTGCGAACACGTGCAGGTCGGGCATCGATCGAGGGCACAAGTGGTTCCGTTGGTCGTCGACTGGCCTAATCGCGTGGACCGCTTAGGGATCGTCGAGTTGTCTCATTCGAGGATCATCCTGGTAAGTACGCGAGGAGTAGCTTCGCAAGGTCCATCAAGGACAAGACGTTCGATAGCGCCCTTCCGTACTGATCCTCGCTGCTCGAGATAACCTTGGTTTATCTAAATCCCTAGGTCAGACACGAACTATCGGCCTCGTAATTACCCCGAGCCTTTCTCCCTCTTTATCTCTTTCTGGCACGCGGCGGAACGATTTCATTTCCACGCGACAGAGACCTTTTGATCTAGACTTTGATCTCCGGTATTGATCCCCGTTATATTTACGGGAGTAAACGAGGTTTGCCGGGATCGATCGAAGGAGCGGTAGATCAAAGGATCACCGAGGATTCGTACGACGGGGAGGATTTAGAGGGTGGTAAACACGTACCATCCCGTCGGTCGGTATTATCGATTCGATACGCATCATATTTGTACGCGATAGCGCTCCGGGGCTAATTATTTCCCGCGGAGAGGGATAGGTGGACCGGGCCGTCGCGGGCTGCGTGCCGCCAGCGTTTTTGCGCGGGCACCGATGAATGAAGCGGGAGATCGTTATGTAGGTCGGCCGGCAATTTTCGTACCCGAGGCTTTTAAGCGTCCATCTAAAGGGGTTTCAGAAGAAGGGTGAAAAAGCTAACCCTTGCTAAAAGGCGCTTAGAGGTACCACGAATTTTTCACCGTACAATGTACCAGGTGCTTGATGGGCTGCAAACTTTGCCCCGCTCGGGGTTAAGATGATGAAACTTTCGTGTAAACGCGGAAGCACGAGTGCTGGATCATCGTTTAACGCTTCAACGCTGAAGAGCTATTTTCGAGACATAACAGGTCTTGGGTCAATCGGACCCAACTGTTCTCTTCAAACCTAATACCTTCTACTCGCGGAAAGTAGAACGAGGAACACTGCGCTTAACAGTCAAACACTGGATCGTTCACCTCTAACTTCACATTTTACATATGTCTTCAATCTTTATACTAGAATGATTAATAAGCTGGAGAAGTTTAAATGATTATCTTATTGATTTATTGCTGAAAACATAGAGAGCAACATATTTCCATTCAGACTATAATGATCAGGTTTTTAACCACACACTACAAAGGTACACACATGGACTACGGATCTGAACCGTCCATGACAACAGATCCAACTTCATCGTTCTTTACATCATAATGATTAATAAGCTGGAGAATTTTAAATGATCATCTCATTGATTTATTGCTGAAAACATAGGGAGCAACATATTTCTATTCAGATTATACTTATGAGGTTTTTAAGCACACACTACAAAGGTACACACATGGACAATGAATCTGAGCCGTCCATGACAACAGATCCAACTTCATCGTTCTTTACATCAGAATGATTAATAAGCTGGAGAATTTTAAATGATCATCTCATTGATTTATTGCTGAAAACATAGACAGCAACATATTTCCATTCAGACTATAATGATCAAGTTTTTAACCACACACTACAAAGGTACACACATGGACAATGAATCTGAACCAACCATGACAACAGATCAAAATTCATCATCCACAAACAGCAAGCACTCTAACAGTTCAGATCTAATGCAGAGATGAACTAGGACCAGTAAAAAAAATGCTAAAACTATGGACATAGCCAAAATGATTGAAAGAGGAATAACAGTTTAAGTGTCAGTAAAGAGACGTCAGATGTACTCTGAGAATCGCTCGGTTTTCATCCTCCGTTTAATAGGCAGGCTCCGGTTCGCTCGAAAAACGCGGTCCCGGAGTGTAATTACGATTCGCGCTCTAATTAATTCGGTAGCTCGAAAGTCGCTTAACTTTTAGGGATCGGTGCACCTTGAAACACAGCCGCGATGCGTTAATTACGCGCGGAGCTAGAGATACCGCTATAGGGCCACTCTCGATACGGCCAGGGCTATTGTTCCTCGAGCGAGCGACTGAAAAGTATCGGCTCGAACGATAACCGGAATCCTACCGCTCGAATTCTCTTTTAGCTTCGAGTCTCGATTCAAAGGGCAATCACCGTTTTACACCTATCGCAGCTTTGGAAATGGAGTTGTGACATAATCCGTTTAGGATGCATCTAAAACCATAGCAATTACTAGTAATCTACTGTACCGTGCAAGATTATTTTACCATGAAGGACCTAATCCACAAAGTTGCAAATATCACCCTCTTATTATTCTCCGTTTCAGTTTGCGAATGAGATTCGTCTTGAATGTCCCAATTCACAATATTTGCCAGTGAGGAACATCATCTCATTATTACATTTAGTCTAATGAATCCTTTTGTGTAGACCATTCGTGAACGAGACACTCCGTCTTACCACCGGTCCCACAAATCCCTTTAGATCTCCCAAGTCATAATGCTGTATATGCAATTAGGATTACTCGACTTACTCCCTTTGCTGTTAGATGTGGAAATGTACGACGCAATTAAAATTGAGGAACGCAGGGTCAAATGGTAGGAGGCTTGGGATCGGGCCGCAAAATTGGGGACCTTGCGAATTGGGGAGCTTGGGAATTGGGAAGGTTGGGAATAGGGAAGGTTGGGAATTAGGAAGGTTGGGAATAGGGAAGGTTGGGAATTGGGAAGGTTGGGAATTGGGAAGCTTGAGAATTGGGAAGCTTGGGAATTGGGGAGCTTGGGAATTGGGGAGCTTGGGAAATGGGGAGCTTGGA